AGGGAGACAGCTGCTTCATGCCATGTGGTTTCCACCTGGCTCTCTTGTCTCTCAGGGCTTTCTGAGTACTTATAGGATTACCGGTGAGCACATCATACCTCGTGAGTAATTGATTTGCTGAAGGATTTCCTGATGTCTAGAAGTGGAATCAGAAGGGTATTAGAAGCTAGGCTTTATTTAGTTTCTTTGGAAAATTTAAATTTGTTTAGCTGAGATAATTAACTTTTGGTTTTGAGGAGTAGAAAACAGTGACTGATTACTTTCTGACCTGGTTTTTCTTTTCTTATCCAGACTAAACCTGTGGTCTGTGTTTAAGACATTGAAACCATTTGAAAAGAGTTACAGTGAAGCTTTTGTTTTAAGTGGTGTATGAATAGGACAGGCCCTAAGGAGGGAGAAGACAAGGAATAAGAAATGATACTTTCTTGATCATTGAGAAAATCTTAGCCCCTGGTTCCAAAGAGCACAGCATCCTTTGCTTTCACAAAATATTAACACAGCCTCCCCATGGGAATGTTCTAAAGCGATTTTGTTGACCCGCTGATGGGGTTTAGCTGATGGGGTTTAGCCTTTCAGGGCTTAGTGCCTTCTGCCTGGAGAGCGACAGGCAGACCCATGCTCATTGAACTCTGACAGTATGCTCAGTCTTACAGAAGTGCTGTGGTAGGCAGCGGGATGAGATGTGGTTCCTCTACCCAGGAAGTTTTTTGTCTCTTTGGGAAGCCAGGAAGCAACACATTACTATATACAGAACATTTAGTTGCTTGGCAGAGCCTGATGTTAAAGCACACAGATCTGGAGACTCTGAGAGTCGGGGGAGGTTTTTGGAGAAAAGAAGGCCCACTCTCCTCTGCTTTTCTGATGCCCAAAACGTTGTGATAAAGCAGTGTTCTGTGGCTTTGGAGGTTTCTCAGATAAATCCTTCTAGATCTCTGTAGAGTTTGGGGAGACATGGTCCAGGTCTCTAGAGACCGGCAGCTTGTCCCTGGGTCCTGGTAGCTGGCTGATGACCTCCCTGCCTCAGGGTCTCTGGGCCTTGGTTTCTTCTTCATTAAGCAGCAGGTTCAGGCCCTGAGGTGCCTTGGCAGTGTGGTGGCTCCGCGCCCGTCCCACAAGAACAGCGCTCTGTTCCTTAGCTCCACATCTTTGAGGTTTTTCACCCAGTGGGGCTGAGAAGAGGCCTGCGGGATGGACCCTCACCACTGTGCTTTGGTCTGCTCATGCGTCCACCCGTCCACTCGTCTACTCACCCTTCCCTCCTGCCCACTCACACACCCTGGCCCTGCATCCTCTTTCAAGAAATAAGTACTGAGGTCGCTTTTCCATCTACCACTCCCCCAGCCCTGACTTTGTATCAGATATCCATAGGATTTCCTGTATTTTGAACTAAGAAAGTTTAGCCTTCGTTTAAAAATGACATTTCTTTATCGCTTTCTTCTCTCTTGGATCTTTCTGCTGATTCACCCCGTATTCACTAGGTTGGTCACTAATGAACTGAGTTGATCAGCTTTACTTCAGAATGTAAATTTTTTATGTGAGCTTCCTTCTCCTTTTCCATTGCTGGTACACTCTCCCTTTCCATCCCTCCCTCTCTACCCCTCACTCCCTCTCACCCCCCCAAAGCAAATTTCATTAATTATCTGCACATTATATTGTTATCTAATGAATCAAAGTTGGCCTTTGATTTGCTGTATTCCAAGGTTCTAGCCAGTGTTTTTGGAATGCATTAAGGTGACTGGTAGACTTGAGCGATCGCTGTTTCAACTTGCAGAATCCCAGCATGTTTTGGGGTACTCCTCAGTGAGATGGACTTTGGGTCCTTTTAAGAACAGTGCTGAATTCTTTGAGAACAGCTAGCAGGGCTTCCTCAGGGTCCTCTGGTTTGGTTCTCCCCAAATTCAAGTTAAGACCATTCTTCTGTGAAATGATTTTGGCTTCCTGGAATACTACTTGAAGACCTACTCTTAGGGCCTCAGAGCTTGACTTGTTAATAATTAAGATTATCATAGTTACTTGGAAAACTCGCTGTGGACTCCTTGGAAGTCTCTGAGTCACTTGTCTTCCTGTTTGGGGTGTTGACAGTAAGACCAGGGTGAGCTCACAGTGTGTTCTCATGGATACCTGGCAGCCCAGTAAAAGTGTCTTTTTTTTTTTTAACTTCCCTTTGTTTTTCTGCTGTCTGTGCTTGATGTGCAAGTTGAAACAGGATTGTTGCTTTGTGTGCAAATTTAAAATAATACAAAGAAAATGAAATTAGCTCTCTGATTTTAGTTTAGATCTTGCAGCTTGCCAGGCCCTTGTATTTTTATTATATAAAATAGAACAAGGGCCTCCCTGCTGGCGCAGGGTTAAAAATCTAAGCAGTATCAAGCTTTTGCCAGCCACTGCAGCACAAGTTCAATTCCTGGCCAGGGAGTTGACCCACATGGCATGGCAGGCCTCTCCTGTCTCCACGCTGCTCCCTTCAGCAATGTATTTTGTCAGTCTGCCTGTTCTGCTCCCCACTCTGTCTCTGGGGAATCCTCTCACCTCCCCCTCCCCACCCCATGCCCACCCACCCTCTAGTCTGCTCCCAAGCTCTTACTATGCAAAATAAATAAAACAAATCTTAAAAATTAAAGAAATAAAATAGAACACTTGCAGGCCAACGTCCTTGCACCAGGATGGGGCCTCTGTGGTGAGAGCTGCATGGGGACCCCCACTACATGTGAAGAGCGGAGGCGGAGTAGTGGTGGAGGAAGCAGTTTCTTCAGTTTTCCTGATGTCAAGTTGGGTCCAAAAAATAGTCACTGGGTTAATACACAGCAGTTCTTCGTGTTCATGTTCTCTTCTTTTTGATTTTTTCCCATGGGCTTAAAAAATGATTCTTGGGGTCATTGATACATAGGGACCAGATAACCCATTCCATATGCTGACCTTTACAAGTTGTATCAGCAGTGGGGTGCTGCATTGTCTGCTGCCCACTGTCTTGTAAGCCAGGTCATGCTACGTCTGCTGATAATTGTGAGGCCAAAGTGAGACTATCTTTGGACTAAGAAAATCCATAAATTTGTCATAGGTGCAAATGGGCTTATGTGTGTTAATAAAATTGAGCCACTAAAAGGAAAAATTATCTGCTGGCCATAAGTGACTTTATGGTTCCTCTTCTTTACCATGGCCTAGAGAGTTGAGCTGAGCATCAGGTTTTAAGGAGCTCGTTTTCCTTTGGAAATTTACGGTCTTCCTTTCATGTATGTCTTCTATGTCTTATTAATACAGTGCCTAGGAGAAGCACTTGCTACGGAGTTCATGACTTTACACTTGGACTAACGTCCAGCTTTTGCTGGATCTTGCTGACTTCCCAGTGTGTCTGCATTGGGGGCCTGGGGAGAGGCCTGGCCGGGTGGGTGCAGATAGTTACTGCAGGCGCCAAGTTAAAGGTGGATGAGCTGGATGGTCAGAGAGGAAGCGGCCTGGGGAAGATCTAGGCTTCGTACCTTCGGGGTTAAACTGCTTTTACTATGGACTTCCAAGCTAGGGAGGGACACGTGGAAAGCCCTTTCGAAGAGGTCCCTCAGCTGTCTAGAGGTTACTAGCTGGACACAGCAAGACTGTAAAATCATGGGGATAAACACTGGAGGTCAGTTTAATCCAGGTGTAAGGTCATAATGTCTGGATGTGAGCACTGCTGTCAGGAACTGGAAGAGAAGTCTAAAGACACACTAGACAGGTAGCGGCACTGCGTGGTTAGTGCCTTTTCCTTACAGAGTGTGACTTGCTGTGATCAGGCTTTCAGAATTTAAAATCAGTCTTAAATGGCATTTATATAATGGCATTGGAAAATATATTCCATACTGTTTTAATTCTTTGAAAATTGGTTTTCTGGAATATGCAATACCATGTGCTTAGCTGATCTGCAGAGTAGAATTCACTGTATTCTCAGGCGGGACTCCTCCTAATTGTAGTTGTCCAGGGAAGGGAAAAGGCAGAGGGGCTTGAGCCACTTGAGACTGACAGCCTCCACATCAGGCTGGAAGTGGCAGAAACCACCCACAAAAGCCATGAGGAAAGCAAGTTGCAAGGTGAACCTTAAAATTCAAAACTGTTACCCTAAAGTTTACAAAAATTCAGAGAAAACATTTGGGAGCAAATGAATAGAAAATGTCCAACACCGTATATGATTTATGTTTCAGTGAAGATACTGAGAGGATACAGAAAACACTGCTTCAGTGGGTGTGTCATACCGAGGGAAGGTGACGGAGCACGTACATTCGTGCTAACACATTCACACATTCCTGTGATCGCTTCATTGCAGGAGTGTTTGCCCATGCTCCCGAGGGCTTTGTCTGGATTCTGTGTGTGGTGACCAGCAGCCTGAGCTGCAGACGCTGTTCCCCATCCTGCAGGACGGATTTTGCTGTTTTTTAGGATCGCTTGACGCTCTGGACACAGACTGTGCCCAGATTCTCTGCACACAACACTGTTCAGCTGCCTACTTCCATATCTTCTTCCCTTTCCACAAGTCTTATGTTTTAGATCCCAGTGCATCAGAAGGGTGTGGAAGGTTTTCCCAAGATCACTTTTGTGTCTCAGCCTGTAAGAATTAGGGCTCTAAGCAAATACTGGTGATATGAACATCCAGTTAACAACCATTTGGCTTTGGTACCAGCAGCCTGGCAACCTGCAGAAATAGGCATATCAAATAAAAGCACAGACAGGTTCCCTTCACACGAATGGGGCATTCCCTGCACAGCGACCCTCCCTGGTGGCTGGTACAGTGGGAAGAGAGTGGTGTTGGTGTCCTGCAAGTATCCCTTCCGGGACCTCCATCCTCAAGTCTGCTTCTGAAAGCCAGAGGCTTGACTAAGGAAGAGTCTGTCTCCACAGAGACCTCTTTGTCAGTGTGGCTCAAAACAGATGGCTTTTCATCATTTTCCCTTTTCTCTCCTTGCCTTTACTCCCAAACTCAGTGCCTAGATGATTTTAAAAAACCCTCCATCACTCTTGACTTTGTCTTCTAGTGGTTTGAGTCCAGCCAATGACACTGGAGCCAAAAAGAAGAAAAAGAAACAAAAGAAGAAGAAAGAGAAAGGCAGTGAGATGGACTCGGCCCAGGATCATCAGCCTGTGAAGGTAACAAGGAGGCTCTGTTTTCTTGTGACTAAAAGTGACTTTTTCAGATGAGAAAGTTTTGGGGTAAATGTATAGGAGCAATATAGATTGACCATCTCCACTGGTATTACTTCAAGATGGAGGAATTGGAGCCCTCTGCTGCCCTCTGCTGCCCTAGACCTAGGTGATGAAACTATGGTCCCTTAAAAGACACAGCAGGTTAGCCGTTGCCCCCACGCATGGCCCCCGCGTTGACAGGTGCCTAACCGCATGTGGTGCTGTGCCGGGCCGCGGACTGGCCTTCTGCCTAGAGCAGTGGTTCTCAGGTCGCCGTCGCCAGTCCCTGCCTGCTTAGGCGGACCTTGGTGTATTTCCGGCACACTCTTAATGCTATCGCCTTTCTGATGAAAACCGGGTGTCCCGCAGAGTCCATTTCTTAGTTCCACCAGTTGAGAACCACTGGCCTAGAGCTCGCAATCTAAGACTGACACACTGACAAGACCCAGAAGTCTGGGGAGGATGGTTTTGTCTCTTTAATCCAACAAAGAAAACCTTGCATTTCAGGTGAGTGCTGTCCTCTTCAAAGTAGGCCACAGGGGAGGCCCAGGTCCTCTTCTGGAATTGCCCATGAAACAGTTCATAGACCCCCAAGAGCCCTGCTCGTGCAGTATACCCACACTGCTCCGTGGCACACGATGCACTCCCACGATGCTCTTCCTCCTTGTGGCGCTCTGGCTTCATCATTTATTTGCTGTTTTCAAATCCACTGTTAAAAATCACTGACGTCCATGCTGGCCAGGCCCTTGCCAGGCATTTCGTTTAAATTAACCCCGAACCTTCTCACAAGGAAGGTGATTCAAGGGTGCGCGCCCGCCCACTTTAAAGGGGAGAGGACTTAGACTTACCCAAGTCTTTCAGTCAGGGGCTCCAGCCCTAGCCTGTGCCTTGGCTTTGGGGCTCTGTTTGCTTGTCTGGAGGGTCTTTGGATGACTCCCAAGGAATTTGAGCTCAAGCTCCTAACAAAATGGTTCACCTTGTGTCTAACGGCCCTTCTGTTTGCCCTTTATGAGAGTAACGCAGGTCGGTACAGAGAATTTAGAGGAAGGGGGAAGAGGGAGAGGAGGAAAATTGAAATGATACGTAGTCTTATTTCCTGGGAGTATCAGTCAAACCTGTTGATTTTTAGTCTTTTCCTTTACAATTTAAGTGGGAGTAAAAAAGAAATAGTAAAGTTAATGCAAGAAATCCTGGGTATTTCTATAATCTTAACAGAAGACTCAGAAGCCTAAAGATATATTGACAATTTTAAAATTTCTCTGTGAATGTCAAAAGATAGATAAATCGGTGGAAAGATATTTGTTATACTTGAATCAGTCAATTTAAAATAATGAAGTGTGTGTGCAGTTCACAAAAAAAGTAAAAATGGGTCCTTCCCTGTTTGGTGGCACAGCGGGTTAAAACGCAGCACTGCAAGCTGGCCACAGCTGCGTTGTTGGGAAGTTCGGTCCTCAGCCAGGAGGTGACCACATGGCGCGGCAGACCTCTCTGGTGTTGCCCACTGCTCCCCTCAGCAGTGTACTTTGTCATCTGCCTGTTCTGCGCCCCATTCTGTCTCTGGTGAATCTTCTCACTGCTCCTGCATCTGGCCTGCACCCCAGCTTTATATGCATAAATAAATAAATGTTTAAAAAGTAAAATGTAAAAATATCCAATCAGTATATGAAAAGATGGCTAAAATGACAAGGAAAGAGGTGAAAATTAAAGCAATATCTTTTTTCTCCTTGATTGACGGAGATTAAGACTTGATAAATGTGGTAATGACAGGCTGGGAAAACTACATTGTTTATTGTGTTGTTAAATTCTCTTTTATGGAGAGCAAGTTGATCTTATATAGTATAATTTTAAATACACACAACCTTTGACCCAGCAAGTCTCTTTCCAAGAATTCATCCCGCAGAAATACATTTATCAGTGAACAAGTAGACATACAAGAAAGTCTGTTGCCACATTGTTCGTAAAACTGAAGGATGAAACCGCCAGGACACTCGTGGCGGGGGTGATTGATGACACAGAGCCATGCACACCACGGGTGGGCTCAGTGGTTGCACCAACAGGTGTGTGTATCCCCACGGACAGGTCCCTGAGACATAACCTTTTGAGAAGAGCAGTTTGTAGAATAGTACTCTACGACCCAACTTTAGTTTTTGAAAAGTGTGTGTGTGTTTGAAACTTGCATGCAAAAATCTAAAGTTGCGTTTGCCTCCTCTTCTCACCCTTCCCACCGTCTTCTTCCTCCCACATTAAGACTGTTGATGACAAAGATTATATACTTGAGAGTGGGATCGTGGGTAACTTGCGTTCAGTATTAGCCCTCTCCGCATCGTTTGCAGTTGCTCACGGAGCGTGTAGTACAAGACTGAGGCAGAGGAAGCCTGTAGGAAGCTCCATCATCAGCCTGACCCCCAGTTAGCATACAACATGCGACCTCTGGGATTAGGACAGAGGAACCATTCCCCTTCTTTGAGTTGTACCCCTTAATTCGCAGACTTCTAATTAACTCAACCGCTTAGTAACATAAGGGCCTTTCTCTCCCCACCTTTGTCTCGTCCAGATGAACTCCTTGCCAGCAGAGAGGATCCAGGAGATACAGAAGGCCATCGAGCTGTTCTCCGTGGGCCAAGGGCCTGCCAAAACCATGGAGGAGGCGAGCAAGCGAAGCTACCAGTTCTGGGACACGCAGCCTGTTCCCAAACTGGGTATGCCAGCTCTCTCTTCCCTAGTGGAGGGCGAGGTTTGCCTAAGGTGTGCTGGGGGTCTCATGCTGAATTTGTGCGGGAAGACAGCAGACTTCTGGGTTACTTGGCTAATATTTTTAAAGGGTAGTCTTTAAAATGCAGTATTGTTTTAAAAAGGCTGCTATTCAGGGACCTGAGACAAAGAATTCCTTTGGCCCATCACCATCCTGTGCGTTGGCTCATGGTGAGTGGGCACTCGGGGGCCTTTCTTCGCGCACAGATTGCAGAGAGGACACTCTGGGCCACTGTTTAATCAGGACAGGGGGCTTCCCCCCCCTTCACCCTGTCTCTGAGCTGGTGCATGTGTACTGGATAGAAAACACTGACAGTTTGCTTCCCAGTGATGGCCTGACATGTGGAATAGCTGTGCCCAAGGTGATTTGCCTGCTCGGAGGGGGGCAGCAGTCCAGCCTTGCTGCCCGCGTGTGTGCCCCAGGTGGCAGGATGGCCGTGCGTGCAGAGCTTACAGAAATCAGGCTCGTGGGGCTCTCTCCAGACCTGCAGCACAGAGCTCGCTGCGGGAGTGTCCACTTCCAACATGTGCCAGCTCTGCTCTAGAGTGAATGCAGTTCTTGGACCCTTGGTCACAATCCAAAAGCTGCCTGAAGTGCACCCTGTGGGGTGGGCGCTGGACAGAGGGCAGTGGGGAGCCAGGCACTATCTGTGTTTATGAGAGGTGCTCGGCAGTGGGTGCTGCTCCAGGGCCCCGCCCCGGCCACCTTGACTGTCCACATCAGCCCACTGGCTGAGTCCTCCAGCCAGGCCTTGGGTCATAGTAGTTCTCACCAGGAACAGGTCCCAGTGATCACTCCCCCACAAGGAACAGGAAGAATGTGGAGGACCACCCACCCCACTTCTGAGTGAAACACACAGAGATCCCATGGAGATTGGCCCAGTTTTCAGACAGAGTTTTGGGTTAGTTTGATTTTGCATTGGGAATTTGCACAGAATGGGCCTGATGAAAAGGCAAGTTGGGGTTTATGAGCTTCTTCAGATCTGTCGTGCTGTTTGCTTCCTCTCTTCACCTGTGAATGTTCTCGGTATCCAGCTTTCTTCTCGGAGAGCTCAGGAGCAAGCACAGACCTGCGTACAAGGCCCAGGAGGGAGGAGGGGACCTAGATCTGTACCTTTGGGTAGCAAGCGGCTAGGGCTCTGCACGTCCGACTGGTCTGCCTTTCAGGCCCCTGGTCAGCGAGCCCAAGTGGAGTGGCCCTTTGCTTCCCAGAGTCAGCCTGTGGGACGTGCCCAGTCACACATGTCATTGGTCTTCATGGCGGGGGACAGGGGTCCCTTTAGTTCTACCTTGGAGTATCCCTGGGAGATTTGGTTGCGATTTACAGCTGCTTACCTTATTTTTTCCCCACTTAAATAGGACTAACAGTGGTAAAACTTGTGTCTGTCAGGTGAGCATCTTCACCTTCCCCCCTCTGTTGGGAGAGCAATCATTAGATTATATTCCACTGAAGGAACCTAGAATTCTTTAGAAGATTAAAAGCTCACCCTCGAAAGGCCTTCTAATCAGTGTTTTAGACTGTTCAACAATTCTGTATTCCAAATAAATGTTTGGCACCTTTTCAGATCATGCCATTCCCTTTACAAGTCACCATTTTTCCTAGTATAGTCGAGGGGAGCATTATCCTTTTCTGGGGCTTACATCTGTGGGCTGACTGACCGCTTTTAGATGAGTGAAAAAGGGAGCATGTGAACTTGCACTTGGTTGCTCTGGGCACGACAGAAAATCCCCCCCACACACACACACACCGCCAGGCTCCCCTCCCCCCAGTTCTGCTCCTTCCATTCAGTCTCCCAAATCTCAGCTCTTCCTTTCATCCTAGGCCCTCACAGTTGCACTGCAGTACTCGGCTTAGAATCTTGGATGGCAGAGAATTTGGGGGAAGGATGAATGTCAGAAAGAAACTCAGTAAAGTCCAGGATTTTCTGTTAGGGCATGTGGTGTCCTCAGTCATTTACTGGTTCAGGTGGCCTGGAAGAAGTTAGCCAGCAGGAGGTGTTAAGAAGCCACTGGGTGCCGGGGGACAGGCGCCGCCCCCCCCGCCCCCCCCCACTCCGTGGACCAGGACAACCTGAGCCTCAATGGGGGCATTGGCCAGAGACCAGGAGGAGCCTTGGGCAGCTTCTCACCTCCGGTGAACCCCAGCCTGCAAGCAGTGCAAAGTATCCTGTTTTCCTCAGTGTTTTCTCTGACTGCTTCCTCAGCCGGAGATAACCTGTGAGAACTTGTTTATCAAAAAGTAGTTCAAAATACAAATCTAAAGATGTCTCGCCTCCTCCGCTGCCCCTTAAGCACCTGCAAAGGACCTGCCCCTGCCCGAGGATCAAGCCCAGCCTCCGGTTGCTCACAGGGCCCTTCTGCATCCCCAGGCCGTGCCACAGACCTTCCGGGGCCCCTCCCTGGCCGGTGCCTCCCCGCCTCCTCTGCCCTGCAGGGCCACTGTGGCTCTGGGGCATGCTGGGGGCAGGTGCCTGCTACTTACCTGTTTTCCTCCATGTGTTTAACCCTCTCTCCTGCCACAGACCGGTACCTTCCAGGATGTGTGAACATTGGGTGAAAGAGCAAGTGTAAATGCTCACTGCCTGCAGTGACCAACCTTGTGACCAGCCTGCATGGCGAGATTCGGCTTTGATTATTATAATGCTGTGAGGAAGCTTACCAATGCCTGGTCTGTGGAAATCAGATAGGAAAAAAATTAATTTTAAAAAGATCTGAAGTTAAATGTGTTTTGGACAAGTAAATTTAGTACAAGATGGGGAAAATGAGCTATCGCCTAGACAAGACTCAAGTAGAAATCCTTGGTGCTTCCCAAAGGTCTTGGCCCCCCCTTGGTTTTGTAGCCCCCCCCCCAATTTTTTTAAACAACATGTCGGTAAACCGGAAGTGGATTTATTGATATTAAACTAATTCTTAAAAGGCTAATTTACCAAAAGACCAGTGTCTGAACTAGGGACTAAACAATATTCCCTCTCCCGAGCAAACCTGTTGGGGGGCCAGATGCTTCCCTGCCAGTATCCCTGTTTGTTCGCTGTGCATCCCAGTTTGTGACCCTCTGCACTTGGGGTGCCGTGTCGTTCCTTGGATGTCTCCCTGATGCCAGTATTTCCTGTGGCAGGGGCATGCGCCTCTTCCCTGTGGTGCTGTGTGCAGTGCCTGGCGCAGGTTGGCATCCAGTGAGCATGAAGGAGGTGGTCCACCGGCCAGCGCTGTCCTTGGCTGTTGGTCACCTGGGCGGGCCTGTGGCTGGCAGGGTCACGAGCTGCCAATCACACATTGGACAGGGTGTTGGGCCGCAGTCTGAGAGCCATGGGAAGCGTGAATTACACACAGTGTGGTGTGTACAGAGCAGTGGACTGAGTGAGCCTCTTTTGAAGGCTTGGTTTTCAAAGCATACCGACATTGCGTTCTTCCAGGTATGAGCGTAACTAAGCTTTGAATTACAGGGACTAATTCCAAGGGCCAAAATTAAGCGGCTGATTTGCCCAGGTTTCTCAGATAAGCAGTTTGGCGGTGGTGGGACCTGGTGCCCTGTCTTCTGGCCCCCCTCGCACTCCCGCACGCCCCATAGAGAAGGGCATGCGTGCCAGAGGGTGGCTCGGTGGCAGCATCACGTGGACCCAGTGATTTGGCCCAGCAAACACGCAGGACTTCTGAAACAGCAGGGCCTGAATTGGCGGCAGCACTAAACTGGCCCATGTTGCTGAGAGCAGGGCCAAGATCGGGCCTGGCGCCTCGTTGCCATCATTTGGTCCAGGAGTGGCCGGAGACATTGTTGCCATTGATACAAAGGCAGCTTTGTTGTGACTCCTACTAAATCCAGCCAGGTCAGTGCCCTCAGCCTGGGCCTGACAGTACCCTCTACACCAGCCAGAAGGCAGGAAGCCAGATTCGTCAAGATAAATGTTTGTCATTCAGTAACTGAAGGGAAATTTAAAAAGAGCTCTGAAACAGCCAGCACCGTGGATTCCAGTGATTGTGCCACAGTTTGGCCCTGAGTTGGCCCTCGGGTCACGGGTAGCCAGAGAAGTAGATGGTCTGCAGCTGCCAAGCACAGAGCGTCCTTCAGACGGGGGTGCCTAGGCACAGCGTGACTCAGCTTGGGGCCCTTCAGAGCAGACCCCCTCCCTCCCCCAGCAGCCGAGGGTGGGGCTCACGGCTGTGCTCTTCTTCCAGGAGAAGTGGTGAACACCCACGGCCCCGTGGAGCCTGACAAAGACAACATCCGCCAGGAGCCCTACACCCTGCCCCAGGGCTTCACCTGGGACGCTTTGGACCTGGGGGACCGTGGCGTGGTGAGTAGGTCTGGGCAGCTGCCACTCGCCGCATGAGCCCCGCAGACCTCAGGACAGGTGCTCCTCAGTCCTTCCTTGAGGACTCTGTTGAGAGCTGACCCTCTTGTGGGCCCTGCTCAGGCTCCATCTCAGTAGCACTGGCAGGCTGGCTGGGGGCTTGACTGTTGACCTCTGTGGCCCTCCCACGCAGTACCCCTTTTCTCTTACTTTTTTTTTTTTTAAGATTTATTTTATTTCTGTGTTGAAGAACTAGGGTGCAGGGTGTAGAGGATTCGCCAGAGACAGAGTGGGGAGCAGAACAGGCGGATCCACTGAAACACACTGCTGAGGGGGCGGCGGAGGCAGAGGGAGAGGCCTGCTGCGCCACATAGGCCAGCTCCCTGGCTGGGATTGAACTGAAGCCCCAGTGGCTGGCGCTAGCTTGACAGTGCTGAGACTTCACCCCCAGCGCCAGCAGGGAGGCCCCATGCTTCATTCTTGTTCATTCGTTCCCGCGTCTCAGGCTGCATTAGCTGGCTAGCGGGTGGCATTCTCGGCCTGCCACTTTATGTACTTAGATCTGCCGCTCTGCCCCGTGGAGACTCATTTTTGTATTACAACTAGGTCCTTGTTTCAAAAGACTCCCTGCCATGCCTGGAGTGAAAAGGTTCGTGAGATTATACGTAGCTTTTGGTAGTTTGCCTTGTCCTTCTGAAAAGCTTAGAGCAGCCCCCCGGGTTTTGGAGTTGGTCCCCCATCTGGCAGAATACCTCTAAGCCGGCCCCTTACTTCTCCACAGCTGAAAGAACTATACACCCTCCTGAATGAGAATTACGTGGAAGATGATGACAACATGTTCCGATTTGATTACTCCCCAGAGTTTCTGCTGTGGTAAGTTGTAAAGGCTCTCTCATGGCCAGTGGGGCAAGGCACTGGGCAGAACAACCACCGGGCACCCCCGCTGGAGCCAACCTTTGAACGGCTAATTAGTGTTTAAGGTTTGAGTTCTTGCCTCTGAAAGGAGACTGGCTTCCTTGGGGCTTAGACCTCTGTGGAATTGGTACCTGGAAGGCAGGATCACCTGCTGAGTGGCAACCTTCTCTAAGGAGGGGAGGAGAGACAGGACCTACTGAGTTAAATGAGGCTCCTCGGGTATGTGAAATGGCCTCGCCTGCCCACTGTACTCCTGGCCACATTTAATAATCCGGGAAGGGAGACCCGAGGCTGAAAGGGGATGGAGGGGACTGCCTGAAGCGGGAGGAGCGGCGGTCAGGTGGAGGGAGGAAAGGGAGCAGAGAGCAGAGACCCAGGAGCTCCCACCCACGGGGCCCACTGGACTCAAGGCCAAGGAGGCCGGTCCTCTCACTTCGCTGTCAGAGCGCGTGAGCGCAAAGGAAGTGGATCAGGTGGGGAGTCCTCAGTGCCGTAGCCTTGGATTGGGCGTGTGTAGTAGGCCAAGTGGGCTAAGGGCCAGAGAGGGCTGTGGTCGCGTGCCCATCATGCCCAGGAGGACTTGGCCTAAACACAGTCCAGCTGTTAACCCTGGGGAGGTTGGAACCCGCCACAGCTGCGCAGCCTGAAGAGCCCCAGAGCAGGCAGCTCCAGCCGCAGCCCGTCTCTCTCCTAGGGCTCTCCGGCCGCCTGGCTGGCTCCCCCAGTGGCACTGTGGGGTTCGAGTGGTCTCCAGTCGGAAACTGGTTGGGTTCATCAGCGCCATCCCAGCAAACATCCACATCTATGACACGTAAGCCCAGGGCTACCCCCCGCAGCTCCCCACTGTGCTGGTCCGGGAGGGAGGGGAGGAGAAGCAGTGACACACTTACCTTCATAGGAGTTCACAATAGGAGCCGTCTGTTCTGCTGAATGTCACTGGGCCCCATGTCTGAGCAGGCTGGAAGGGTCCCGCCACCCGTTGGCAGTGCCCTAGCTGAGCTGAGGCTCCTGCTTGTACATGCACCTGCCACATGGTGGTGCCCTGGAGCAGCTTGGGAAACAGCCAATGGGACTCGACTTCCAAGTAGTCACTGGCCTCGAGCTCTGCTCTTCACGTGCAGTGGGATCAACCACTGCCCATCTTCTGGGCTTGCAGGCCAGGGTTGCCCATGGGAATCAGCCCAGAAATCTTAGAATAACGCTTTACTTGCCCTGTGGGGTCCCTGCCTGTTGAAAGAGGGACACCCCCACCCTACTACTAGGGATTCAGCAGGGACATGCTGATGGCATCTTCACATAAGAGGGCTTTCTTGAGCCCCCTTCCCTTCCCTTTGGAAGAAGTGTGGGCACCCTGGCTTGGCACCACTGAGCAGCGGGAGGGAGTCCAAGCACTGACCATGGGCAGGGCTAGGGCAGACGGCAGGCCTGTGGGCGGGGCATGTACCACGTGTGTGTTAAAGGCCTTGTCACTGGGCTTTTGATTCCCTTTCCAGAGAGAAAAAGATGGTGGAGATCAACTTCCTCTGTGTGCACAAGAAACTGCGCTCCAAGAGAGTGGCTCCAGTCCTGATCCGAGAGATAACCCGGCGGGTTCATCTGGAGGGCATTTTCCAAGCTGTTTACACTGCCGGGGTGGTATTACCAAAGCCTGTTGGCACCTGCAGGTAAACGTGTCTTCTCACAAGGTCTTAGACAGACTGGCGTGGCCACCACAGTTGAGTTTGTGCCCCTGGGGGCTGTAGTTCAGCCCCTCGGCTCAGGGTGTCCCCAGGGCATCTGGCTTCTCCAGGGTCTGATAAGATGGGTGGTGGGTGTCCATTGGAGCCAGGCAGGGAGCATAGAGGGGGGCGCTATAGAAGAGCAGCCAGGCAAATGCATGCCCTGTCTGAAGGGTTAGCACGTCCAGCTCCCCGGACTCCTGCCCTTGGGAAGTGGGGAGTCAGCTGAGGTTTTCAGTTGTAAAGAATGAGCCCCAGTCTGGGATTTTATGGTCAAGTTCCTAAAGTTGTAAATGGTTGCCTTAGTTTGCTTTGGATATCTGTGGGGGCCCCTGCATCACCCAAGGACCCCCCTGCCTTAACAGGTAGTCTGAAACAAGTGAGCAGTCTGTCTTGGAGCATCAGAGCAACAGCAGGCAGTGCAGAAGAGGGAGGAGGGGAACCAGAGAACTGTGGGTCTTTTCCACTGACCTGATTCCAGGAGTGAGATTGCTTTTCCCGGACAATTTTTCTAACAAAGGCTTTTGGAATTGAGAAGGAAAGATAGGAGGATCAAAAATAGGAAGGGCTGTGGCAGCTGTGCCTTCACTGGGGGAGGTGAGAGACCAGGAGGCCAGAGGGCTCAAGTGGGGCCTGACGAGTGTCTCGCGCCACCTGCTGGCCGTCTGGAGACCTACGTGCCATTGTCTGGACTTGGCAGAATGCTCTGAGGACAGGACATTTGTGTCCCCGCAGGTACTGGCATCGGTCACTAAACCCACGGAAGCTGATTGAAGTGAAGTTTTCCCACCTGAGCAGAAATATGACTATGCAGCGTACCATGAAGCTCTACCGACTGCCAGAGGCCAGTGGTGCTCCGGGGTGACGGGCAGGGGCGAGAGAGGCCGGGAGAGCCTGGCCCCGCGCAGGAAGAGCAAGGCTTTTAGTGCAGGACAGGAAGGGGGAGCTGGGTCAGAAGAGGAGCCCAACGCGATTTCCAGATTCTGAGACTTTCCATTTCTGCGCTGTTATGAATAGCAGGCTGTATGTATTTGAGTTTGGCTTTCTCAGTCCTCCTGCGCCTGCTCCTGGGCTAGCTTCCCTGCCATCTGTTCCTAGGCTGACAGCACCTGTCCTCCGAGTTTGGTAAAGCTGGGGGACACACGCACTCACTGAGGTGCCGAGCTCCGCGGTGCGAGGAGCCGGAGCGGGTCTGCCGCCGACCGGCCAAGGCCGAGCGCGCGAGGGAGGCCCAGGTTCCTGACACCAGTGCCCCAGTCCAGATTTTGCCACAAGAGCTGAGCAGCTCACTCCAGAGTGAACTGGTTTTCTGGTTTTGGTCTTGATTTCCTGGTTCCCCAAAGAAACAGGTGTGCCCTGTGCCCCAGTTGTGTGGGTTTGCATCCTGGTGGTCTCAAAGCAGCTTCCTTCCCTCAGGGCGCTCCCTCCGGTGTGCACACAGCGGAGGCCAAAGCGTTACCTGCCAAGGTGGGGTTACTGGCCTGGGAGTGGGCTACCCTGCCGTGGGACTGGGGCCTCTAGGGTGCCCAGAAACCACTGGGCATGGGGCCATGATGTGTATTTCCCAGAGATGCCCTGTGACCGCAGGCAGAGCGGGCATTGCCTGAGGGCATCATGGGTTCTCCCCACATGCAGGTGAGCACCCCAGCATGGTGTCTTTTTCGGAACAGGGTATGAGGTGGGCTCTGGCTTGTGCCAGTGAGATCCCTAAGTGTTCCCTGGAGACAGGCTGAGCAGGGAGTTCTGGCAGCGTGAGCCTGGAAGGGCACTTTGAGAGCAGCTTCCTCCACAGGGGCAGTTGCACCAGCCATGACTGAGGCCTGGAAGCTCTGATCCACCGATTTCAGATTTGACTGGCTCCACCTTTGTGGTGTAAGCTTTAGAGGGTCTGTTCCCTCGGGGCATCACCTGGCTATCGTCACTGAAGCAGATTCTAAGAAAATGGGGTGGGATTCTGATTTGAGGTTAAATCCCAGGAGTTTAGTACTTTTCTTCTCACTTAATTTGCAGCACTGTGTTGCTGGGGGCGCTGCTGATGACAGGCAGATACTGCTAGGCCTGGGGGTTCCATGTTCCTGTGCCTGGGGGCCTGTCTGAGGGTGGAGACAGCCTCCTGAGGAAGAGATGTGCTCCCGCTCAGTGGGAGGCGGTGTGGGGACTTGGAGGAGGGAGCCAGGAGAGGCTTCGTGGGGGCACGCGGGGCCAGCCTGCCCAGCACTGTGGGGATCGCTGGGGTTGCTCTTGGTCACTGGCCTTGTGGGCCTGAGAAACCTTTATCAAGGGACTGACCTGTGCATTGCAGGTTAGTGAGTAGCATCAGGGCTTCTACCAGGGTGCCAGTAGCTTCCTCTCCTGAGATGTGACAACTGAAAACATTCTATTGTCAAATGCCCCCACTGGAGACCACTGGGCTGAAGGGACAGAAGACACAGCCAGAGCAGCCAGCAGGGCCAGAGGGCAGTGTCCTGTGCTTGGTGTTAGGGAGTTCAGCCGAGAGAGGGCCTGAGGGGTAGTGTTTTCTGGGGCATGTGGGTAAGAGGTTGAAGCTACAGCCTTTACCAGGGACAAGAATGACAGCTTCAGTGAGGAGGGGAAGGGCCAGCAGATGCCAAGGAGGCAGGACTCGTGCCCAGTAGGGGGAGGTATGGCCCGGGATCCTCTCCTGGGGCCTGGCCGATGGGCCAGGAGGGGACAGCACGACGTCTGCCAGGATGCCTGCCGTCGGCGCCCCTCATGCTGAATCTTCGATCTTCCTTGCAGACTCCCAAGACAGCTGGACTGCGACCAATGGAAAAAAAGGACATTCCAGTAGTGCACCAGCTCCTCACCAGGTACCTGAAGCAGTTCCACCTCACGCCGGTCATGAGCCAGGAGGAGGTGGAGCACTGGTTCTACCCCCAGGAGAACATCATCGACACGTTTGTGGTGGAGGTGAGTGGGGAGCGGTGTTCTAGGGTCCTGACACATTCGCAGAGAGCCGTCCCCTTCAGTTCCTGGGCTGCCCAGGCCTGGCAGGACTGGGGAGCCATTTGACAGGAATGTCACCATCCTAGACTTTCTTGACCATCGTGCTTGGTCCTCCCTGAGACAGAAAGGTGTGGCTTGCTTGCCCCACACCCACTGGTGACACTGGCGAGAGAAGTGACCGCTCTTAGTCAGGTAGGCCGCAACTCCCTGCCTGTCTCGGCTTGTGCTAGTGCCAGCCAGACCTGGGGACCCAGCCTGGGGAATGCCAGGAGGCAGAGGAGGCCCCTGGCATGGCGGTGTCACTGGCTCAGCCCAGTCTGCCTTGTTCAGTCCGGCCTGGTTCAGTCCGGCCTGGTTCTCCTCCTCTGTCCTCAAGTGCCTTAGGCCGCGTGCTTTTCCCTCCATACATATCCTGTGTCAGTTTCCACCCACTGGGGAGGGGGGCAGTGCTGCCTGAGGGGGTGAGAGCATGGCTGAAGTTGCCCTTCCTGTCTTCCTTCAGAATGCCGGCGGAGAGGTGACAGATTTCCTGAGCTTTTATACGCTTCCCTCCACCATTATGAACCATCCAACTCACAAGAGTCTAAAAGCTGCTTATTCTTTCTACAATGTTCACACCCAGACCCCTCTGTTAGACCTCATGAGCGACGCCCTCGTGCTTGCCAAAACGGTGAGGAGCCGTCAGGCGGCGCGGAGCTCTGTGGGGCAGCGGTGGTGGTGAGCTGCCCACGCACGCCTCACCTGCCTGCTCCGCTAGGGAGGGCCCAGAGTTTTATGCCAGCAGCTCAAAGCTAAGAGGGACAAGGAGCACCCGCAGGAAGTGAAGACGTTGACTCCCTGATTGATTCAGTGAGTTTCGTTCTCACGGGAGGCGATGCCAAGGAGCCTGAATAGCCAGGCCTGCTTGGGGAGTGAAGGGGTTCGCCTCACGACCCCCCAGCGTGGGAATGGGGAAATTGGTCTCTGTCGTGGTGAGTCATTGGAGTGGCTGACTGTAGACCATGGGGGGTGGGGAGTAGCATCGTCATCTGTCAGCCCTTAATTGGGGGTTCTGCTGCACCGGGCCCAACCTCTGTGGGCCTACGAGCTGTGGACAGTCTGGCCTGCTGCCCTGTGAGGGCTTCTCACCGATTTGGGAAGAATTAACAGGTGGCTTTGGGTTAAGATGTCCAGGGAGTGAAGGGACAGTGCAAATGATCTGTCACTGACAGGAGCCAATTTCTCAGAGCAGGGGGGTCGGGACTTGGTGTCCAGAGAGGGCCATGGAAGTTACTGGAGTCTGAGGGAGGTAAAACAGAGTAATGGGAGCAGCGGCTTAAACACTGAGTGCGGGATGTGTGCTTAGAGGGACACTGAGGAGAGGCCAGGTGGGGCGGCACTGTGAAAACCCCACTAGAGAACTGGGTGCTGGCTGGAGTTTAGATTGAACAAGGACACAGCCACGGCTCTGTTGGCCACCTAGGGGTAAACAGGGCAGACAGGTAAGGCAGCTTTCACCCGCATTCATCTGGTCCCATTTCCCCCGTGCCATGCAGAAAGGGTTTGACGTGTTCAATGCACTGGATCTCATGGAGAACAAAACCTTCCTGGAGAAGCTCAAGTTTGGCATAGGGGATGGCAACCTGCAGTATTATCTCTACAATTGGAAGTGCCCCAGCATGGGGGCAGAGAAGGTACGTCTGCCTGTGCAGCCTCCTGCCGAGGCCCTTGCCAGAGGGAGCCCTGGCCAGTCAGGGCCTGGTGTCTCCAGCAGAAACCGGGCCATGGGTCTGGGGCCCAGCACCAGCCTGGGTCCCTGGAAGGTCTCCTGACGCCAGGTTGACAGCCGGTGTGCAGGTGGCAGAGGGTCAGTCCCTGGCCCTTCCCTCGGCTCCCGGGGCTGTGGGTTTCATCAGCATTTACAAAGTAGTGGATGAGCTGGTGGTAGGCTGGGACCTGTGCTCTCTTGCTCTCCAAGAAGGATCAGTGGCTCTGCAAGGCCTGGTGTGGCCGAGTGGGTGCCGATGCCCGGAGGCTGGCCCCTCCGCCCAGGCACGTGCTCAGGTTCGTCCTGTGAGCGTCAGGGCTGGGTGGGGGCGGGAGTCTCGGGACAGCCGTCAACTCAACTGCTCTTCCCGCTGGCTCTCCTAGGTTGGGCTGGTGTTACAGTAACCAGTTGCCAGTGAGAATCTGGATAAAGCCACTGAGAATTCAAACCAGGAAACGGAACCCCACCACTTGTTGGTCCAGTTTTCACAAACGTGAGAATCCTTGGCAAAGGGAGCAGAATTGAACCGGCTTTAGCAAACCGCCAATGAACTTGACGATTGTATTGCGATCGTGTAGGCTGCGTGATGTCACCTCTGGCCGTGTCTCTGGTCTCCCTGTTTTCCAATTAATTACATCCTTTTGCAGCCATGATCAAGGGAATGTAACTGCTGAAAACTAGCTCGTGATTGGCATACTATGGAGTTAACGGGTGAATAATAAAAGTATATATATTATATATATATATATATATATAAATATTTTAAATATCTTTCATGTTCCAAATGTGCAAGGATGTCTGGTCTCTGATGAAAAACTGAATCCAGATCATTCCTCAGAATTCGAATCCAAGGTCAGTGCAGACAAACACATTGGTACAGTGGATTGTTTGCTTCTGAAGCAGGCTTGACTCTTCTTGGGGGAGCAGGGAAAGAAGAATCCCCTGCAGTGGGGAGTCTTCTCCAGTGCTCTTCTGACTGGGCTGGAGTATTGGCTTCAGGAGGCAGGGGGAGGAGAGGGCTGCCAGAGGGGCCGGGCCCCTTCCGCATCCTGGAACCGGGCAGCAGCGACAGTGCTTGGAAGCAGATTGTGTTCATCGCGCGCCCCCCACTCCTGCCTGCCCCCTCTAGCAAGTCACCCTGCCAACGGCTTACAGGCTCTTCAGCCAGCTGTTGCCAACCGTATGGGGGCACATTCCCTGTGCAATGTGTTTCTCCGCTGCCTGGGACGACTGGCAGTGTGAGGGGACCCTGGACCTCCTTGTGGCATCTGGGACCTTGGAGACCCCAGCAGTGCAAGCCCTGCTTGGCTCACCTTAGAGCAAAAAGCCAGCACCCTGACACCCCCAGGGTGGCCGGGCAAGTACGGCGTGGGGCCCAGACCCCGCAGCCCCTGGCCTGTGCCTTCCAACCCGTCAGCTGTTGTGCTCCTAGGAGTTCAGGGCACAGCCCACGGGCACTGGTGGTCAGAGCCGCTCTCGACTCGGCAGCAGAAGTGATTTCTTGTCACCATTGTCTGAATCTGATTTTCGCTGATGTTTTGTGGACTTGGTGGTGGTGGTTTGGTTACTGACGGTGCCGCTGGGGCGTGGCCGCCCCTGGAGGCCTTCCTCTGCGCGCACAGCCCGGTGGCCTGGGCGGGAGTGCACTGTGGAATTGTTAGCCTCCACGCCCCACAGGCCGGTGTGTGGCTTTTGCTCTGGGAGGAAGTAAGTGGGTGGCTAGCCGGTGTGCAGGTGGGGGTCCCTGGCTGCTTTCACTCCTCGGCTCCTTGCCCCCCGCACTCAGCCCAGTGGTGCCACTAACTGAAGCCCTGCTCTGCAGGCCAGCAGGGCTGCATTCAGGCGGTGGGTCTGGGTGAGCCTTGCCAGAGGCTAATTTTCTGAGTCCCCAAAGCTGGAGGAGGTGCTTGGGATGGGGCCACACCTTTGGCGGCTTGTGCCACCCTCTGCAGACAGCTCCTGGCGCCAGCAGCGCCACTGCACTGGATTGTCATCAGGCTTCTGGGCACCTCCCTTGGGCGTTGTTCTGTGCGCACACTGCAGGCCCAGGACCGCGGCTGATTCTTGACTCCTTGACTCCAAGATACCCAGACCAAAGAAGCTGCTGTTCTCAGCAAGATGCGCACTGCATTCTGCAGCCAGAGGCGTCGGGAAAAGGGGCCTTAACAGCCTCAGCCATCGGACCCAGCCCCCCAGTCTCTGGGCCGCTTTACGGATGTTGGAGAACAAAGCATCCGCTTCCTGCCTGCCTGCCTGGGGCCTGGAGTGTGGAAAGGCTCCCTGCCGTAGGCTTGCTTGGCTCTGGGCCAGGACCCTGAGCTGCCTCTGAGTTTCGGGGTGCACCACAGCCCCGGTAGTGTGCTTTGCTTGGGTTGCCCAGGTTGTGGAATGGAAACCGTGAGGTCTCAGTGACTGCTCTAGAAGAAAAAGATTTCCTGGAGACATCCCAGTAGCTCCCTCCAAAACCACATGGTGCACTGCTTAGACTGCTGGTGTCTCCTGGCAGGAGCCTGCCCCGGTCTGCAGGATTCAGCTCGGTGGCTGCCGTCGGTCTCCTTCCTGTCCTCTGGGTTTTTCCATGGTTTCCGGTCAGAGCGAACCACGGCTTGGGGTTGGGGGCCTCCCCACAAGCCTTGCAGAATGCAGGTGCCAGGGTGGCTGGAACCACACAAGGGAAGATCCGGGGCCTCCAAGCTCGCCACTGACCTGCCTCAGGCAGCAGCTGTCCCAGTCTGTGCCGCCAGAGTTCCTCTCGGACCCTGGGCTCTGGACTCCATGTGTCCAGCAGACTCTGCCTTTGGGTTGACTCTGTATCCCTGACTCCACGGCATGTCCCTATTGCCTCTGGTCCCTGTAGGGAGAGCTGGCCAGAAAGGAGGGCTCAGCTCTACACTGAGGTCCGCACAGGGGCTCGGGCCTGCTTCCGAAGAGGCGGACGTCGGCTTGAAGGCCGGCCCACACCAAGCTTGAACACCTCGGTAGAATGAAAAACAAGGCCTTGTCTACAGCGCCCTCCTCACTTGCTGGCCAGTGAGGCCCAGAGGTGGGTGTCCCTGTGGTCTTGAATTCTTTGCCCAAAGATGACCAGCACTTAACCAACCTAAGGGAGGCTCAGAGCTGCAGTCTGGGAAGGGGGAGGGAAGGCAGGCCTGCAGACCCCTCCCGGGGAGGCTGTGATAGGCAGGTGTATGCCAAGTGAGTGCCGGTGCTGTGCAGCATCTGGGAATAGGGAAGGGGGAAGTTTCTTCACCTTCTTGTCTGGGCTTTTCTCTGAACTGTGGGAGGGGCGTCCACTTCCAGGGTGGGGGAGGAAATACGAACTGCGATGTTGTTCCCCTGGAGACTGCTCACTCGTTTCTAATAAAGCAGCTGAACAAAACCCTCCCGCCATCCTGGTATTTCTCGGGGCAGCCGGTGGCCGGTGGGCAAGGGCGCCCTCCCTGACCGAGGCCCTCGAGGCCACAGTGGAGGGCACCTTTTGAAGACTTAGCTTCAGCGAGGCTTCCCTTAAGGTAGCTCCGCCAGCACGGAGCCAGCACTGACCCAGTTCACCGTGTAAGCGCGCAGCTGGGCTCTGGGCCAGCACAGGGACACTGGCAGAGCTGCCCACGGCCCGGGCCAGTCAGTTCTGTGGAGCGTCGCAGGCCTGCCGCTCTCCCGAACCCGTGTGGGGCCAGGCCCGAGAAACCGCACCGGGACTTCCATCCCCCTTCTCTTCCGTGGGGACTCTTCGTCCGTTCCCTGACCCCCTGCTCCTTTTAGGCCTCCCTGGGCTAGTGCCTGGGAGCCTGGCCAGGGCATCTGGGCCTGACAGGAGAGGGCCTGCCCTCCCGCCCCTTGAAGTCCCCTGTGAGGCCTATCCCCAGAGGACGCCTCGCCCTCAGCCCGCCAGGAAGCTAGCTCCTGCAGACTCACGCCTTCGTCCCTGCCCTTAGTTTGGGGCTGGGAGAACCAGCCCTGTGGGTGGCCTCCACCCAGGGACCTCGAGAGTCACAGGGTGATTCTGCACCCCCACCTCACTTTTCAGTTCCTGTTAAACTGCCTGCGTTAAAGACTTGCCCTTTCAAGGCTGCCTTCCCAATTGGGGTTCTTACCCTCGCAGTAAATCCTTCATCACACCAAACCAAAGAGAATGGGGGGCTTACTCCTGGGGCCAGTGCTCACCTGGCAGCCCCGGCCCCCGGCCAGCAGTACTGCTGTGGGGGGGACTGGCCCCCACACTCAGCCTGCCTCCCACCTGGGGCCGCGGTGCTCCCCGCAGCCCTGAGCCCCAGCGCCTGGCTGCCAGCCCAGGCTGCACAGGGAGGCCCCGGGGCCCCTCACGCACGAGTCTGTGGCCAGTGGAGTAGGGGGAGGCTGTCACTTCCTGTATCAGGCTGCGGATGCTCCCCCCAGGTACTGTGTCATGGGCCTTTGTTCAGCAGTGGAACCCAGAGTGCCGGGGCTCCACTTCTAACCCCAGCAAGCTGCCTTTCTGCCTGGCCTCTGGATGCTTTGCAGTGGCAGCTTGGTGCCTGCTCCCAGCCTCGAGGCAGCCAGGACCAGCCGTGGCTTTCCAGTCCTGTCAGTTGGTTGGCTGGAGGAAGGAGAACCGACTCCCGGCATTTATCAATGTGGCCTGAGTACAGTCCCGCAGTCCTGTGCCCACCCTGCCCGTTCCAGGCCCCCTCACTCCACTGTGTGTTTGGGGGGGGGGGTGGACTGGTGTCCTCAGTCACGTGATGTAGTAGCTCTGAACTCGAGGGGGCAGGGCTGTTGCAGGCTGTGACGCGTCAGTGCCCCTCCTTGTCAGTGCCCCTCCTTGTTTTCGACAGAATCAAGCCCTGCTGGAGGAAGAGGCCCAAGGGGCTCTCCTGCCTCTGTCCCTCCTTGGGGTGTGGCCTCAGAGTACTCAGGGGATGCCAGGGATAAAATAAAACTTGTTTCTTTATTTTTTTAAATAGTCCTGCTCCACTGTCCTCTTCAGCTTTCACAACACAAGTTAAAAACCGATTCCCAGGTTTCCTTGGGGCCTGAGTCTCAGCTCTCCCTTCTTGCTTTGAGTAAGAGTTCAGGTTCAAGAGCTGGAGTCCAGGAGGGGGTCCCACGGGGTAGTGCCTGGGGTGGATGCAAGGGTGGGGGTGGGGGCAGGGCTCGGGAAGTAGGCTGGAGTGGCCTCACTGTGGGGAGAGACAGGCTCTGGTGTCTGTCCACACCAGCCCCGTCCACCCCCCACCTCCCAGGCTCCTGGTCCAGCAGGGCCTGCTTTCCAGAAACCGTGATGGGCTCAGGACCCAGGACCTGAAGCTGGGACGTCTCAAGCCTCTGCAGTTGCAAGGCAAAGGCCAACGGCCCGGGGGCCAGGCAGCCCTTGGCCCAGGTGAAAGGGGGCAGGCCAGGTGGGCAGGCTGGGGGGGCGGGCACTGCCCCTGCCCCTCCTCTGCAGGGAGGGCAGCCTGACTCGCAGGGCCCGGGGCCGGCCCGTCCGCAGGGTCAGGAGTGCCGGATGCTGATGTGGGCGAAGAGCGTGGCAGGTGACAAGGAGGCGCCGTCCTTGGAAAGCAGGTGGATGTGGCGGTACCCTGGGGGGAGGGTGGCTGGCATCAGGCTCTGGGCCCCCCACCCCAGGTGGGTGTGGGTCTCGCCCCCCGCCCTCGTGACCGACCTTGCTTCAGACTGTTGAGAGGCAGCGTGAACTGGCCCACAAAGTCATTGGGGGACACGGCGTCATAATCCTCCACCACGAACCGCACCAGCGCCAGCTCCGGAGCCCGCAGCTGGAACTGCAGGGTCTGCCCCCAGCGGGGGTTGAAGCCTAGGGCACAGGTGGGGTCAGAGGCCGCACCTGCCTGTCCTCTGCCCGCCCCACGCCCCCCGCAGCGCCCCACCGTTGTTGAGCACATAGGTGGTCTCCTTGTGTGCGCAGTCGTGGGGCACCCCGTAGATCTCCACGCGCACCAGGGGGTCCACGATGGAGCTGGGCTTCTCGGCATTCAGCTTGGGCAGCTGCTGGGCTGTCAGCACCTGGGGAGGGGAAGGGGCGTTTCGGGGCCGCCCCTGCTGGGGCGCACCCCCGCCCTGCCGCAGCCTGGCCACCCCGGCCCACGGCCCCTCCCGCTCGCTCGGGCTCCGAGCGGCCCAAGCCCTCCCCCGGCCCACGGCCCCCAGCCCAGAACTAGCTCTGACCCCCGGGGAGGGCTGGCCAGGCTGCTGACCTGGATGGTGAGAGTTGTTCTGGGGGCGCCGGGGTTCTCGGGGTCAAAGGTCGTGTCAGGCTGCCGGAGGCAGGCGGGTTTCAGGATGTAGCCACACTGCCCGTTGACGAGGAAGCGTCCCGTGTTGAGGTCCATCTCGTAGCCTGGCGTCTGGAAGTTCAGGGCCACTGTGGACGGGGGCAGGGCAGCGGTCTCAGTGGCCCGCCCCTCGCTGCTCAGTTTCAGGGGTGTCACTGTCCTCCCCCAAGACAGTGGGGGAGGACTCTACAGAGAGCAAGGCTCCCGGCCCCACCATCGTGGTGCCATCTCCCTGCTATTTCCGGGGGCGGCCCTGGCCCCGGGCCAGGCCTGGGGTTTCCATACCTATCCCTGAGGGGCCCGTATCCCTCCTTGGGGGGTCTCCCCACCCCTCCAGAGCCTGCCCTGTCACTGACTTAGTGGGACCGCCGGGGGGAAGGGGTGTGGGGTCGCGTGGGAAAGGTGGGTTTTAATTCCTCCGTAAAAAGCGATGGCGTTTCCCCGCCTCCCTTGCTGACAATCCTTTCAATTATTCTTACGAACAAGATGTTTCCACCTCTGGGAAGCTGCGTGGCCCCATCACTGCTGGGGCCTCGAGATTCCCCAGGGGACAGCCCCACGAGTGGCCCTGTCTGCCTCTCCTCCGCTGCCCGACTCACCCAGCTGGCAGCCCGAGTTCCACATCTCCTGGGGGTTGTAGTTGGCGGAGTTCACCCGCAGCCCCCGCGGGTAGACGCGGGTCAGCTGGCAGGCGTTGTGCCTGACGAAGCTGTTCCCTGGGGGAGGAAGGGCTGGGCTGGGCCCCAGGATGCCCCCACGCAGGGCCAGCGCCCCCGGAGCAGACAATGAAGTCGCACCCCGCTCCCTGGCAGGCCGGGGCGGGCATCTCACGGAGGAGGCTGCTGACATCCATCCAGAACTCCGGAGAGGGCAGGGGGCGCCCTCCACGGCCTGGCACTGCACCCCTACCCCAAAGGCCCACACTCGCGGCTCAGTGCATCGGACACCTGGCTGCAGACTGACGTCCCTTCCCTACACGCCACACACGCACGCTCCCGCCCCACCGGGGTTCCTGGAACCCTTCCTGCATGTCAGGCCTCCAGGCCTGCTCCTCCTGTCTGCAAGTTCCTCCCCCTGCACCTGTTGCTTCCTCCTCATCCCTCAGGCCGGTGTCTTATTAGGTGTCGCCTGCTCAGGAATCCTTCCTTGATCTCACCCCCCCACCCCATCACCCAGCCCCCACCACGGCCTTGCTGATCACCCCACACCGTAACTCTCCCTCCGGTCTGCACCCCCACTGGCTGTGTCCCGCCGAAGGAGGACCCAGCCTCCCGCCTCTTCCTTCCATCCACACCAGCGGGTGCTGAGCTGGTTCCTCGTCTGAGCCCCATCTCTGGGCAACTCTGACTTCGTGACTGCCCGGACCCCTCCATCTCCATTCCAGACCAACTTCAGGACAGCTTCCCCCCACCCCCAGAGACCTGCAGGCCCCCACTGCCCTCCTGCCTGCAGATGGCCCCCATGCCCTGGCTCCTACCTGCCTCTCGGGTGAGCTTCTTGGCCTTGCGCTCGCCAAGGGAGCTGACCAGGCAGGGCTGTGCCAGGGCGGGGGTGGGGCGCAGGGCCTGCAGGCGGGTGGCCCCGCAGTACACAACCAGGGCGGACAGCTCCGGGGCGACCTGCTTGGCCTAGGAGAAAGCCTCAGGGGTCTGCCCGCGCCAGCCCGCTGGCTCTCCCACCTCCCGCCTATCCGGCCCGCGCCGGGCTCCTCAGTAGTGCCAGCCCTGCCCAGCCCCTGCCCAGCCCACTCACCAGGCGCTTCTGGTCTGTAAGCTCTGCCTCGGAGCCCTCCTCATCCTCGTCCTCCTCCCGGTCTGACAGGGGCAGCTTGTCCTCGCTGCGAGCGGCGGGCAGCTTCTTCCCCTTCACCAGGACCCTGCCCTTCAGCTGCTGTAGAGGCCAACACGGGCAGGTTCAGCCCCCGCCCTCAGCCGGTTCTGTCAGCCGCGTGTGCGCGCGGGCGGCCGGCGGGGTATGGACACGGGGATGAATGATTTTTCCCACAGTAAATGAACGAGGCTGCGGCCCCGCACGTCAGGGCGCTCCCGGCGGCCGCCGCAGGCCCGAGGCACGCAGGTGACCGTTTCCAGAGACCGCGCGTCAGAGAAGCGGCGCGGGACGTGAAGCGCCCGCCAGGAGCCGAGCACTGAGGTGCGGGTGCCCGGGAAACACCTGAGAAAGGCGCCAGCACGGCGACTTCGCCTCAAACGGGGCGGGGCGAGCGCGCTCGGAGGGACACCCGTTTTCACACACACACGAAGGTGGATGGGTACTCAGCAGATGTGGGCTTGAGAGCCCGTTTTTTCCTCAAAAAAGTAAAAAGGGAAACGGATAGGATGGTTTCACTCCTAGCAGGAGTATAACGGGCCAGCCGAGGAAAATAATAGTAATAATGAACAGCTACATACCAGAGACATTTTATGGGGGTGGAGTGGGGAATGGGATCAAAAATGGGGGTGGGGGCACAGCACTGGACTATGGTGATGGCACACAGGTGATTTGGGGATGGGAAGCCCACGGGGATTGCAACTAAGAGGGGAAAATGCACAAAATGATGTAAAAATAAACTTATATTATTTAAATAATATATAATTGGTAACATTAAAACATTTTAAAAATAAAATAAAATAACGGATAAATGTCCTGAGGGTGGGCTAGAGGGTCCCAGCCTGGGAACAGGGGAGGAGAAACTCCCTCTGGCCGCAAGAAGTCTCCATGGGGTGGAAGCTGAGCTCTAACTGGAAGCAGGTGGCGCTGGACAAGCACCGGCGGGCAGGGAGTCCCCGGCGGAGACGGTCAGGGTGGTCTCCTCAAGAATGTGGGGCAACGAGACCCTCTGGCCACCCAGGTGCAGCTCAGGGAGCGTCACCTCTGGAGACGGCAGCTTATCCGGGTTCCGGGAGTCCAGCGCCTGCGTCACCAGCATGTCCCCCAGGATGGTGCGGAGGTGGCGGGCCATGGTGGCCTGCTGCTCCAAGCCGCAGTGGTTCTCGAGGGACAGGATGACCGGATAAGGGGACACCTGACCGGAAGGGCAGTAGCTCAGAGCCACTCTTCCTCCCGGCCCGCGCCCCACTTCACCTGGCTCCCAGTCCCCTCCGGGACAGGCAGGCAAAGACAGGCCCCGAGAGCACCCACTCTGGGGACAGCTGGGTTTGTGGGGTGCAGGTGCCTGCTGGAGGGCTGCTGGAGGGCAGAGGGCAGCTCAGGGAACAGGCGGCCTGAGGCAGGAGGCTGAGGCGGCTCCGGAATGGCTCTTTGGTGAATGCTGTTCATGCTGAGGGTGCGGACCCTGTCACTGATGTCATGAACACTTATGTTTGCTAAGATTTGGAGATCTGACAGAGTTGTGATTTTTAGATGCCACGTGGAGCTTCTCTTCGATGGCTTTCTCTTTGAAAGTCATGATTAGAATGTTCTCTACCCCCAGTTTTCTCTGGAAACGCTGCGTTTCGGTTCATTTACTAACTGTGAGGGTGGGAGGAGGGAGCCTCACCCTCAGCTCTGTCTACCCCGTGGGCCAGTCACCCCAGGAGCACTAGGAAAGAAAGTGATTCGTTTTGGAAGGGCTGGGGCATGGGCACAGAGGCAAGGGTGTCCCCCCAGAAAGGTTCTGGGGCTGGGCGTGGGGTCCCGGGGGCTCACTGTGAAGGCGAAGTCTCGCACGGCCTGGATCACGTCCCGGAAGAGGATCTTGGAGGTGAGCGTGTGACCGTGGTAGATGACGGGTTCCCCTCCGGGGCCCTCCCAGCAGTCCAGCTCCACGCAGCGGCACCCCTGGGCAAAGGCCCTGCAGACGATGCATGGACAGGCACGGAGCTGGATGGCACCGCTGAACAGGGCAATGCTCTGAGCCCAGCAGCGCCCAGAAAGCCTGCAGCGGAGGCCCTCACAGCCCCCAGGCTGACATGCTCACCCCCACCGGCCCCCGCCACGGTACCTAACGTAGGCCTCGGTGCTGCTGGCCCCCTCAATCTGAGAGGTGGTCAGATAGGTATTGTGGGAGGAGGAGATGAAGTAGTGGGCCAGAGGCTGGTGCATGTCCTGGAACACACTGGTGTGGGCTGGGTCCAGGGCCGCACCCTCAGGCGACAGCAGGTACATCATGAAGCCATCCAGCGTCATCAGCTCATGCTGCTTGGCTGCGGGGTGGGCAGGAGAGGGTGCTAGGTCACATGGGGGGCCCCCCTTGTTGAATCCCACATGCCCCCAAGTCCACTCCACTTGGAAGAGCATTTCTCCTGACTGGACTCTACGTCAGTCTTGTTTAATCTCCAACCACATGTGGCTCGTGGCCTCCTGCAGAAGTGGCCTCCTACAGCGGAGTTTCCGAGGCGAGCTGACCTGCCCGAGATGTTCCCCACGTCGGGAGCAGCCCAGCCCAGGCCCCTGGGAAGCCAGCCCCGCGTGTGGCCCCCGCCCTGCCTCCCCGACCCCCACCTATCTCGTTGAGCTCATAGGTCTGGATGAGCTGCTCGGCCCGCGCCAGCGTGGCCCCGTCCTCGCCCTGCTCCTCCAGGAAGCTCAGCAGCTCGGGGGCGCTCAGCAGCTGGTCCTCGCCCGAGTACCGGTGGAAAAGCTCCTCCAGCTCGGGGCGCTTCAGGAGCCGCCGCAGAAACTCCTCGATCTCGGGCCCCTCCAGCCGCTTGTTGTTGGAGTGGTCACACTCCTGGGGAGCAGGGGGCAGTTCTGTGGCCCCCGCGGGGAAGCTGCCTGCACCCACACACCCTTCATCTCTCCCCAGGAGGGCGGACGTCCCCCATTTCACGGGCGGGGAGACAGCCAGCCGGGCTCCCGGGGCTTCCTCAAGCCAGCGCAGCTGGGCGGGATCAGGGCTGGTCTCTGTCCACCCAAGAACAGAGACAGGTGGGCAATCCGGGCCCGAGGCTGGACAGCGCACCTGTGTCAAGTGATCCCCTGCGTGTGCACGCTGCCGGCCCTGCACTTACGCCGGGGTGCGCGCCTCAGCGTTCCCGCGGCGGCCAGGGAGGCCACGCGTGCCTGTGGGGCACAGGCCGGTCACACAGCCAACGCCAGCAGGGGTCTGCCAGGTGCTCCCGTTGGGCCGTGGACACCGCCCACCCTGGGTACCCCTGGCTGGGGTGTGCACATCACATGAGGAGGTACCAGCAAGCCCCGGTGGAATGGGGTGTGCACGGTGCCCGGCCGTACCCCCGTGCCAGCCACACAGGGTCACGTGCACAGGTGCTGCCCTATGGACTAAGGGCTGCTCACTGTGGACGGGTGGGGAGGCTGCAGGTCCTGGACTCTGCCTGAGGGTGGGGGACCAGGTTCCCCAGGTCAGTGGCCTCAGCAGAGTGGGGCAGGGGTAACTATTCCCTTTTCTCCTTGTAAAAATGCATCATGAACAAAGAAAAGTTTATAATAAAAAAAAAGCAAAAATGCATCATGACTTTTCTAACACCAGAGGGCCGAGGAGGCGGAAAGCAGAGGCCAGCGCAGGGGCACCCACCTTGAAGAGGCGGTAGGCGTACATGTCGTTCATGTCCATGTTGACCATGCGGAGCAGGCTCTTGATCTCCTTGAAGCTCATGGTGTTGTCCTGGTCCGAGTCTGCCCGCTGTAGGTAGGAGTAGATCCAGGTGTGGGAGCTCAGGAAATAGCAGCGTCAAAAAATGGAAAGAGCAGGGCGCTCCCCTGTGGTTCAAGGGCTTAAAGCGCAGCACTGTGGAGTTATCACAGCCGCTGCGGCTCAAGTTCCACCCCCAGCCAGGGAGTGACCCCCGGGGTCCAGCAGACCCCTCCTGACCTGCCCACAGCTCCCCTCAGCAGTGCACTTCAGAACATCTGCCTGTTCTGCTCCCCACTCCCCGGGCGAGTCCTCTCACGGCCTGCAGCCCAGCTCTTCATGGGTAAATCTTCAATTAAAAAAAAAAAAAAAAGGAAAGAACAGACCCAAAATGGAGTCCTTGCCACCCACCGATGTAATAGCCAATCTCGCTGCAGTTTCAGCCGCTCTGGAGTTTCCTCCTCAGAAGCCCGCCTGCCCACCTGTCCTTAGCGGGGAGATGGTCTCACCTAAACAGTCTTTCCTGCTGATAACCTTGCCCCCACCCCTATAAGTACCCGAGATTTTGTTCACCCCTACTTAGACAGGGCGCTGCCAGGCTCGCGAATCGCTCATAGAGTCGATTCCATCTCTAACTTGGCGGATTCGTTTTTTGACACCATCAGCTGGCTGACAGCAGCCTCCTGCCGCAGAAGCCCTCAGTCCGGGTCAGTCGCAGCCCAGCAGCCTGTGCCCACCCACACCGTGACCCCAGGGCCGGCTGGCCACCCCCGCCAGGATATTGGTCGAGGCGCTCGAGCTGGCTCATGGCGCTGAGGCTGGCGCGCAGCTTGGCCAGGCCGCGCACCCAGCACTGCGCCTCCGCGGCCGTGGGTGCCACCAGGTCCAGGTTCTTGCGGTGGCCCTTGAAGGCGATCGTGAGGCAGCGCTCGGGCTCGTAGGCGGCCCCGTAGCGCCGCAGGCCCTCGGACTGGTGGCCCTCGCGGACGGCCTCGATGTGCTGCAGGTAGACTGTGGGGGCGGTCAGGGCCCGCG